GACTAAAAGTTTTAAAATATCAGTTTCTAAATCAGTATAATCTTATTCCTTCTTTAAAAATACTTATTTAAAATTTGAGAAAGTACATAGTTGTATGGTTCAGACTCCAAAAAGTATAGAAATAGGGGCACCTGGGTGGCTTAATCAGATAAGCACCTACTTTTGATTTTAGCTCAGGACATGATCTCACTTTGTGAGATTGAGCCCCACATCAGGCTCTGTGCTGATAGCGTGGAGCCTGCTTGAGATGCTCTGTTCTCTCCCTCTCTCTCTCTCTTTGCTCCTCCCCCACTCATGCTCTCTTTAATGAAAAACATAATAAACATAATAAAGTATTGAAACATATGCAGTGAGAAGTAACTTTCCACACAGCATACTATATTATACTTTTTCCCCAGTGTATCCTTTCAGGGAGATTTTTAACATACACAAATACTGTACATGTGTGTTCTTTTATCACAAAACCTACTTTGAACACTGTTCTATATCTTGCTTTTTTTCCCAGTTTACATATCACAGAGATCTGTCCACAGTGCACACTATTATTGTACCAAGATTTAACCAGCTCCCTCTCATGAATCTGTTGTTTTCAGTCATTTGCTATTACAAATAATGTTTCAAATGAGTAAACGGAGGAAATAACAAAACTAAAAGGCATTATACAGAATGGGAAAAGATATTTGCCAATGATATATCGGATAAAGGATTAGTATGCCAAATCTATAAAGAATTTACCAAACTCAACAGCCAAAAAACAGATAATCCACTGAAGAAATGGGCAGAAGACATGAATAGACACTTTTCCAAAGAAGACAGCCAGATGGCTAACAGACATATGAAAAGATGCTCAACATCACTCATCATCAGGGAAATACAAATCAAAACTACAGTGAAATTCCACCTCAACCTGTCAGAATGGCTAAAATTAACAACTCAGGAAACATCAGATGCTGGCGAGGATGTGGAGAGACGGGAACCCTTTTGCACTGTTGGTGTGAATGCAAACTGGTGCAGCCACTCTGGAGAACAGTATGGAAGTTCCTCAAAAAATTAAAAATAGAGCTACCCTATGACCCAGCAATTACACTACTAAGAATTTATCCAAAGGATACAAAAATGGTGATTCAAAGTGGCACATACACCCAAATGTTCATAGCAACACTATCAACAATAGCCAAGTTATGGAAAGAGCCCAAATGTCCATTGACTGATGAATGGATAAAGAAAATGTGGCATATCCATATACATATATATACATACATACACAATGAAATACTACTCGGTGATGAAAAAGAATGAAATCTTGCCATTTGTAACAAGGTGGATGGAACTAGAGGGTATTATGCTAAGGAAAATAAGTCAGAGAAACACAGATATATGACTTTACTCATATGTGGAATTTAAGAAACAAAATATGAGCATAGTGGAAAGGAAGGAAAAATAGATAAAAACAGAGAGGGAGGCAAATTATAAGAGATTCTTCAATACAGAGAACAAACTGAAGGTTGCTGGAGGGGTATTGGGTAGGGAGATGGGCTAATGGGTGATGGACATTAAGGAGGAGGGTACTTGCTGGGATGAGCACTGGGTGTTATATGTAAGTGGTGAATCACTAAATTCTAGTCTTGAAACCATTGTTACGCTGTATGTTAATTAACTTGGGTTAAAATGAAATTTTAAAAACTTTAAAGAATAATAAATAAATAAATGATTAAACAGAGACCTACCTCATTCCACCAATGTGCTAGCATACTTATATGAGGGATAAGTTCCCGGAGGGGAATTGCTAGGCTTCTATGAATTTGTGATGTTAGTAGATATTGGCAATCTGCCTCATACAGAGCAGTGGTTTTGAACGAAGGGCAGTTTTGCTCCAGGGAGACATTTGGCAAAGTCTGAGGACACTTTTTTTTTTTTTTTTTTTTTTTTTTTTTTTTTTTTTTTTTTTTACGATTTGGGGAAGGGCTGTGCTCCTGATATGTGTGACAGCTGTTTGATTTATGTGAAGTATTCACACCCTTTGTTCATTTTCCCCTGAGTAATCATGCCCTTTGCTCATTATGTAATCTTCAAACCTTTTCTGTGTCTTTTTGCCTTTTGATTTCTGCATGGCAAAAACACTGTGAACATTTTTTAAGACATACTGTTATGAAGGGAAATTCTGAGTTTTTGTTGGAAATACCTTCTCTAGTTATCAGTTATTCAAGGATTCTTCCATCTTTGGGGGACACTTTTATCATTTCCTTTTGTGTATTTTGATATTTGATGTATTTGGAATTTATCCTGGTATAAGGTATAAATACAGTTTTTTTTTTGATCAGTACTTAATCATACTAACACCATTTAATAAATAATCCATTTCCTACTGATTTTTTTTTTTAATTTTTTTTTCAACGTTTTTATTTATTTTTGGGACAGAGAGAGACAGAGCACGAACGGGGGAGGGGCAGAGAGAGAGGGAGACACAGAATCGGAAACAGGCTCCAGGCTCCGAGCCATCAGCCCAGAGCCTGACGCGGGGCTCGAACTCACGGACCGCGAGATCGTGACCTGGCTGAAGTCGGACGCTTAACCGACTGCGCCACCCAGGCGCCCCCATTTCCTACTGATTTAAAATACAAACTTATCACATACTAACTTCTCATGTATTTGATTCTAAAAATATGTTTTAATGAAATCACTATCTTGGAGATATCTGCACTCCCATGTTTACTGCATTATTAGCTATAGCCAAGATATGGAAACCACCTAAGTGTCACCTAATTGAATGGATAAAGAAGATGTGGTGTATGTATACACACACACACACACACACACACACACACACACACACACACAATGGAATATTATTTAGCCACAAGAAAGAAGGAATCCTGCTGTGCAACAGTATGAATGAACCTAAAGGCATTTTGCTAAGTGGAGTAAACCAAAGAAAGACAAATGCCGTATGGTACCACTTAAATGTGTAAATTAAAAATAAAAGGCCGATTTAAATTTTTTTTTTTTTTCAACGTTTATTTATTTTTTTTGGGACAGAGAGAGACAGCATGAACGGGCGAGGGGCAGAGAGAGAGGGAGACACAGAATCGGAAACAGGCTCCAGGCTCTGAGCCATCAGCCCAGAGCCCGACGCGGGGCTCGAACTCACGGACCGTGAGATCGTGACCTGGTTGAAGTCAGACGCTTAACCGACTGCGCCACCCAGGCGCCCCATAAAAGGCCGATTTAATGGAAACATTAGAATTGTGGTTCTTACAGGTTTAGGGAAGAGGGGAAGTGGGGAGATACAGGTCAGAGGGTACAAACTTTTAGCTATAGGATGAATAAGTTCTGAGGATTTAATGTACAGCATATATATGTGTGTGGTGTGTGTGTGTGTGTGTGTGTGTATGTATATATATAATTTGTCATTTATTCCTCAATAAAGTTGGAAAAAATATAAATATGTTTTAGTATCTGGTAGGGTGGCAAGGTTATTCCCTCATTATTCTTACTTAGATTTTTCCTGCCTCTTCTTTTTTTTAATATATTTTGAGAGAGAGAGCACAACCAGGGAAGGGGCAAAGAGAGGGAGGAAGAGTGAAAATCCCAAGCAGTCTCCATGCTTAGTGTAGAGTCTGATGTGGGGCTCAGTCCCACAAACTGTGAGATCGTGACCTGAGCTGAAATCGAGTCAGACGTTTAACCGACTGAGCCACCCAGGTGCCCCTATTCTTGTTCTTTTTAATGTGAACTTCAGATTTAGCTTATATTTAAGAAATTGTTTTGTTATAATCTCATTTTAGTTGTTGATTAAGTAGAATTGATATCTTTTTTTAAATTTATTTTTTATTTTAATTTTATTTTTGAGAGAGAGAGAGTGAGCAGGGAAGAAGAGCAGAGAGAGAGAGAGAGAGAGAGAGAGAGAGAGAGAGAGAGCATCTTAACAGGCTTCATGCTCAGCACGGAGCCTGATTCAGGGCTTGATCCCATGAACCTGGGATCATGACCTAAGCCAAAATCAAGAGTCACACGTTCAACTGACTGAGCCACCCAGACACCCCAAATCGTTGTTGAATTTCGTCTTTGAGAACATGGGTATGTGTGTGTATGTCTTAGGAATGTTTTAAAGGTGTCTTTATATAGACTTACACTTAGTTTATGCTTTGTTTTTGCATTTGTAAGTGGGATCTTCCATTATATTTTCTAACTGGTTATTTATATATATGGAAACTTATTTTCTATTTACCAATTTGAACTCACCATTTGAATTTTTTATTGTTTGTATTTTTCAGTTGATTTCCCAGTATACAACCATTATCTACAAAAAGTAATATTTTTTATCTCCTTTCCAAATTGTTTTACCCCTTTGTCTTGTCCGTTTCTATTTGGTAGAAATTCCAAGAACAATATTAGATAGTAATGATGATAAAAGACATTGTGGTAGAATGCTTTTTCTAAAAGCTTCTTGTATTTTAGGATGGTTGCTTCCTTAATTTCCTTAAAAAAAATTTTTTTTAATGTTTATTTTTGAGAGAGAGAGAGAGAGTATGAACGGGTGAGGAACAGAGAGAGAGACACAGAATCCAAAGCAGGCTCCAGGCTCTGAGCCATCAGCACAGAGCCCGATGCGGGGCTCAAACTCAACGAACCATGAGATCACAACCTGAGCTGAAATCAGATGCTCAACCAACTCAGCCACCCAGGCACCCCCCCCCCCTTAATTTCCTTTTCAAACTTGATGCTAACTTTTGGTGGATTGATACAGATCCACCAATATGATTCTTTCATATTGGAAATATTCATTTGTCCTTTTAAAGAATTTTCATCAATAAAAGATATAAATCTGTTAAATGCCTTTTTAGCAACCACTGACATGATGATAATGACTTTTTTCTTCTTAAATCCATTAGAATGAAATATGAGTAGATTTTCCCATCTTTAATTATCCTTGCTTTGCTGGATAAACACCACATGGTCAAGGGCTATTAGTTTTTAATATTCAGTGCTTTTTGTCACAGGTTTACCAAATTCATTCTGACAGCTATGAGACACAAAACCAGCACTACGGAAGAAGCTTAACGAAAGAAACTCTAAAGGATGGTAAGGGTTGAAAAACCATATTTCAATGTACAGTTATCAAAATAATTCTAAAGTAGTTTCAATTTTATTTCTTCTTTGGTATAATGATTCATTCTGCAATAAATAAACTTAAAAAAAATAAAAGAACCTTAAATTTACACAGTTGTACTAATCATAATTTCTGGTTTGTATTACACCAAAATCCTGGATCCATGAATGCCTTCTTTTACATTGTAGTTCATTTCTTATTTAATAATATATTTTTAAAAATGAACATCTGTGAACCAGCCATATAGCCCAAGTCTTAGAACTAGAGGTTGTCTTTAAAATCCAAATACGTAGAGTATAGTATATTAAAACTACTTCTTACATAAGAGACTTTAAAATGTGTATTGTCATATGTAATGCATTTTTATCAAAATCTCCCATGTATAGTTGAGCTGTGTATTATAAGCTTCTAGAACTACATAATAAATAGCATTAGAAGTGTTTTTTTTTTTTTCAACATTTATTTATTTTTGGGACAGAGAGAGACAGAGCATGAATGGGGGAGGGGCAGAGAGAGAGGGAGACACAGAATCGGCAACAGGCTCCAGGCTCTGAGCCATCAGCCCAGAGCCTGACGCGGGGCTCGAACTCACGGACCGCGAGATCGTGACCTGGCTGAAGTCGGACGCTTAACCGACTGCGCCACTCAGGCGCCCCAGAAGTTTTTAAATAAAATCTGCTAACATGCCTCTAAAATATTTATAGCCAAAGTATTACAAAAGCAATGATATCTTAATAGATTTCTGGAAATAATATTCTATTAGAAGTTTATTCTTAGCTCTGCCTAAGATAGGAAGGAGCTTATGTGTTAATGTAAATAGTTTGAAGAAAAATTTTCATTGTATGTATAGAAAATGTACATACTGTGATCTTAACAGTATTTTGCCTCAGTTTACTTAACCAATAGCCAGATAATATTCAGATTGGCTCTTTATTAAAATATTTTACAGGCTGATGTGAATATACTTTTTAGCAATTTCTCTTCCAAAGTAGGGGGAACAAGCTATTTAAAAACAAATCAAATTGCACCGACCTAGAAATTCTCAAATACTTAAATACACATAAATAATTTTAAAAGAGGCCTAATAATCTGATAGGTTAAAACATGTAAAAGTCTCCGTTTTGAATAACATATTCAACCTGAAGTATTGTTGATACCCAAAGCGAGCGTAACTTTTGTGAAGACTGATTTAATCAACATTATTAAGATCAGAAAACAGTATTATAGTATGATTTGGTATTTGGTAATGGGCTGTTGACACCATTACAAGTGGTTATGATTTGACTCTAGGTTTTAGATTAGCTCCTGACTGTGATTCTAACAAATAAGAAATCTTACTAAAAAATCTCTCACACTAGCAAATGAAGCAGATCTTGGAATCACATTCCTTAAGAGAACATATATAGAGAGAATTAAACTACCAGTCTGTGTGTAATGATTTTTTTAATCTAAATAGTATATTTCACTTTACATAAGTGTCATTTTTTTCTAGTAAGAGAATCTTCACTAGAAATGAAATTGAGGTCCAAGTTTCTATGTCTGACTAGAATTTTGCCAGTTCAGTTTATTGTAAGGGGTAATGGGGGAGAAATTTGAAGAATTGTATCTAAGATGAGTTTACTTCCCAAGTGATAACTAGTTTATAATTTCATTATAATCCTAATATTTTCCTTTTTATAGGGGTCTCCAGGTTTTTTCATAATGGATTCTGCGTAAGAAAAGATGCTGTTGCTGCCAGCATTCAGAAGATTCAGAATATTCTGCAATGGTTTGAAAATCAGAAGCAGCTTAACTTTTATGCAAGTTCATTACTGTTTGTTTATGAAGGCTCATCTCGGCCAACTACTACAAAATCAAATGACAGAACTTTGGTAGAAAAGTTTTTGTCCAAAGGACAACTGTCAGACACAGATGTACTGGAGTACAATAATAACTTTCATGTGTTAAATTCCACAGAGAATGGAAAAATAGATGTTTCAGTAGGCAAAAGCTTGTCCAAGATGTATGCTTGTCACAGAAAAATGTGTTCAAAAAAGCATCACAGTCATACTTCATTGAAAGCTGAAAATACAGAGCAAGACAATGGGTGGAAAAGCATGTCACAGGAACGTTTAAATGGAAATGTACTTTCCCAACTGGAAAAAGTTTTCTGCCATCTTCCCACTGGTTGCCAGGAGATTTCAGAAGCAGAAGTGCGAATGATAGATTTTGCTCATGTGTTCCCTAGCAACACAGTAGATGAGGGATATGTTTATGGGCTGAAGCATTTAATTACTGTACTGCAAAGTATTTTAGACAATTGAAACCTTTGCTGTGGTCTTTTTAAGGATGGGGCAATCATAACAAAAGCAGCAGTCAATATCTCTATACTTGTAAAGCTATGTAAAAAATTTATATTGTGAGTCTACATTTTGTCTTTATACTTTTGGTAGAAGGGTTATCTTTTTTATAATCTTACTCAGGAAAACTATCTGTTCATTAGAAAACTATGAAGAATAAAAAACTTAGGAATGTTAAGCAGGGAATGTGGTGGTACATGGCTTAAACATCTATTTGGCTCAAGCAAAATGCAAACCGTTATTCAGTCATTAAGAGTTTATTTAGCTTTCTGTAGCCAATTTGTCATGAAATTTCTGCCCACCCAACCTTGACAATGAGCCATATCTAAACTCATTAATTTATTAGAACACTTTAAAAAATCTAGAAAGCACAGGTTGATGTCCTTAGCATTGCTATGAATGAAGTTATTAAAACTGGAGAAAATTCTACTTCAGAAAGTTAAGTACTGTTTAGGTTTTATATTAAAAGTTCAGACCAGCATATCAAAAGGTGCTTCTTAGTAAAGTGATTTAGAATTATTGCATTCCAAAAGCAGATTTTCTCTTTAATTTCCAGTTATTTGCATATTTCAAAATATTATATAAAGATAATTGAAGCGAACAACAACAACAACAAATTTCTTGGAATTAAGTTCACTAATAATTATTCTTGCCAGGGTTAGGAGAAGAAAAAGGGCATTTGCAAGGAACAAAATATTTTCTTTTAAACTCTTAAATTGATGCAAAAATTAGAAAAAGTATTTACTATATTGTGAAAAATGTTATAAACTATATAATACCTTTTCCTACCTTTTCAAAAGGTAGATGATTGTCTTACTTTTCCTTTAAAGACCTTTTGAGAATTTTCTCTTTTAAAATGCATGTATTTATATGTCTCCATTTAGTCAAACAGTAGTATATATTGCTAAAAAGTGTTTCTTAGAATTCTAATAAGCAGTGAAGGACACCACCCAGTATTGTATCAAAAGTACCACGGGTAATTAGTGCACCTCTATAAGTTTGGTGCATATCTAAATCCATGCTTCTATTTCACTCTTACTCAAAACAGTTTTATATCCTATTCCAGATAGAAATAACAATTTAAATTGTAATGAGTGGAAAAATTATTATCTGTATTATCTGAGTTTCACATTTACTACCCTTTAAAAAATAAGTAGTTATTTGTTATTGAAAACATTTAAAACTTTGAAATTAAATTTGCAAATATGTTAGATATTTATGAAAGCATTACTTGCACTTTGATTCACTAACACATCTAAGCAGTTAACAGTTTTGCTGTATTCTTGGAAGATGTTTTATATTTGTGAGCTGTTGAACTTTCTCCCCTCTTTTTCCCCTAGAATTACAAATTAAACTTTTAAATCTTAATGTCTTTGTTTTTTTTAGTGTAAAGTATCACAATTTTGTGTTTATTTCACCTTCCCAGTCTGTGTTTTTCACAAATATCTGAGCACAAACAGAAGTACCAAATGCTCTATGAATTCTATGCTTAGTAACTCTAGTAAACCTGAATAACTTTAAAATTCATATACATTTTGTTACAGCAAAATTTGGTTTTAATTTTTTATTTAGAGTCAGAATAAGTATTTTCTATAGAGACTGCATATTTTTCTCTACTGCCTAAATAGGTATTGGCTGTAGCTTTTCTTTGTGGGGATGAATTTCAAGTCCTAATAGTCAAAAATTTTTTATTTTAATTTTTTTTCTCCCACAACATAGACTTTTGTTGTTGTTGTTGTTATTTGGACAGGGGTTCATAAGTCTGAAGCTCAGATAATTAACAATTTTGAGTCTTAACAAGAGGGTTGTTTTGAATGGGATGGTATCAGGCTATGTACAATGAATTTAATAAATTTAAATATTACCAGATTTTTTGCACATTTTAGCTCAATAAAGTGTGAATCAACTGTTCTAGATTTTCTTTATCCATATGTAGAAATATAGTTTTGTAAAAATCAATGTCTTACCTTTTTGATACAATAGACCATATTTTTTTTTTAAATAAAACAGGAAGCGCTTTTGTCTTTTATTTTTCAGGGAAGAGATTAACATTTAATTCTGTTTGTTTACATTTTTTATCACTGTTACCCAGTGCCCATTTTATGTTATTTTATAAGTAAGCTTACATGTCACAGAATAAGTCTCTGTTTATGTAATCTACATGTGAATATTTTACTATCTAGCCCAGTCATTTAACATTATGCTGAAATTTACCACTGTGGGGAAGAATGATCACTATTCACCAAGCATGTTTAAACATGTACGTGTTTAATAAATAAGCATAATAAGGATATAGTTTGGGTTAATAGGATTACCATAGTTTATTCCCCCTAGGAAATATAAATAATGATTTTAGTGTATTTCTTATGGAATGCACTCATGAAAAGGACTTTAAGAAATGGTGGATAGTGAATAATACATTTCTCTAATAAAAATTTAAATTGTGTAATAGTTTTATAATAAAGTATTTACACTAATATTTTAATATGGATGGAAGTTGCATAAATTCAAGTAAATTAAAAATTGATGATAAATGCTAAATATTTTATCTAAATAGTTTTTCAAGAAACAGTTGTGAAAATGTGTATATTAAATGGCTCTAACGTGGAACTTGTATTTTCAACTCAGTATTCATTATTCTTTGTTTTATGTGTCTGGAAAGATCGTACTTACTATGCCTCTTTACACTACAATTTGCTATTGTGGAGCTTTAGATTGTATTCAACTGAATAAGGACTTTTTTTATGATTTTGATTGAGTATAACTTACTATTTTATGATTTCCAAAATGATGTTCTTCATATTATCTCTGTAAAGTCTATATATTAAATTTATAATAATATAACTTAAGAAAAAGGAATTAATTTTCAGAGATATTTCAGTTGTAATTTTCATATTTCATGCAACTGAAAACATTTGTTTCTAGGATTGGGAATACTGAGAAGATATGGGATGAAAGAAGATGGTATGTAACTGTTTTATTTGTGAAATTACAGAAATTTTGTCCACTATTTTTAAAACATTGTCATCATTTTAGTACTCTTTTAGCAGTTAAGCATTTGATACTTTAAAACTTGATTTGCTCTTAAAATTGTTTACAATGCTTTGTAATAATCTTCCTTATCCTGTGCCTTTAACCTTGATTTGATATGTTTGTAGCCTCAGTTATCCTTCCACTACATCCTGTAATATTTTTATAGCCTAGGCATCAGTTTCTTTAAAAAAAAAAAGTGTCAATTTTATCATGTAAAGAGGTAGCAATTATCTATCGATGCTTTGGAAAGACAAGTAGTGTTGCCAATGGAAGCCAGGCTTCTTAATTCATTCAAAAATATTTACTGGATTTCTACCATGTGCCAAGCATTTTTAGCCCCTGAATATACAGTTGTGAACCAATCAGACAAAGCCCTAAACATTTTCAGCATTCTGTCTAGATGGGGTGGGGTTGGGGACTTAATTAAAATAGAGATACAGAGAAATATGCATTTAATGATAAAGTTCACTAGCATTTGAATTTGTGTAAAGATAATTATTAAGCTGAGCTAAAGCAACTGACAATATGTTAGAAAGGTTAAAAATAATATGTTGCATCATTATAACCTCTATTTGACTTTTGGGTTCAGGTAGCAATTATAGATAGCATACAAAGGCCTTAATTTTTCTTTTCACTTTTCTTGCCAGTAAAGGTACGTTTATTTTTAGGCCGTCCATTTAGAGTAGTGTTTTAAAATAGCGTTACTGTGAAAAATATTCCATTACGTATTCACAAGCAACTTACTGCACATTTTTAAAATTGTGTTTTACAATTTATTTAAAAATATTTTAGGCCTCAATTTCATCTTCAAATCACTGGTATTTTAAATTTGGCAATGAATATGAAATTACTTTTTGATTTACAGAATGCTTGTATTATTACTTAAACTACTTGTTAATATTTTAGGAAGATTGGAATCTCTGGCTTTTTGATGTTTAAATTCTTGTTACTTAATGTTGATAGTGTCTAATGAGAGGAAATAGTGTTCATGTGATTAAATAAATTAGAATGTACTTTGAAGAATTTTTTTTTTTTAATTGTTAAACTTTGTCATCATGGGGTTAAAGTTTGGCCTGGTGTTCACTTACAGCATATATTAAGCTTAATTATGAAGTGAAATAGTTTCAAGTAGGATGTGGAATGCACCTGCATATAAATGAAATTGGCGTGCACAAAGACACTTTACTGTAGGGAGCTGTACTGGAAGATTTATGAAAGCATGTGAAATTGCACCTAAAATTGTATTAGTGACTATGCTAAATTTATTGTACTTGATGAGTGAATGTATTTAGTGTAGTCAAAGTTACTTTGGTTTAAATGTCTAAACAATGTCTCTCTTTTTAATGTGTTTGTAATTTGTATTATTGATGGGAGTATTCTTGGACTGCAGGGGTATTGTCAATGTGTGATTTGTGTTTTTATTTCATAGAGTCATCTAATGTGATATACCGATTTTTATAAGTGATACTTAGATAATTCTAATAACTGTATATTTGACAACCTATTAAAATGTTTTGCATTGGAGCTTTTCTTCATTAATTATAATATGCTAACAAACTCATGGTAGTTTAAAAATAATTTACTCAACAAATATTTGAGTGCATGTTATGTATCAGAAACTGCAGAAATCATTAGGGATTCAAAACTGATTAAGACAAGATGTTAACAGAAAAAAGCATACTCATTGCAAATGAAAAAGTATGTAAACTTTTTGCTTGAATATTTATTTTCCTATCAGATGTACTAAAATCTTTAGAACCAACCTTATAGGAGAAGTGGACTATAAGAGACACCAGTTGACTTGGCTGTGAAAAAAAATATACTAGAATTATAAAACTTTAGAAGTAGGTAAGATAGTTTTGCTTGTATTTGAAGTTTCACAAATCAGTTACTTAGTCAGTGACCTAGTTATGTTCATTCGTTAATCAAAA